GGTATGTCTCACAATAAATTTAGGAATGCATCAAGCCATTTAAAATGATACACTTACAGGTCAATTAATATTCTATTGACTATGATGATAATCCTTCCAGCCTCAGGAGAACACCCTCTCTACTGACAATGCCAAGTGTACAGACTCCAAAATCATGCTGGCTGCCAAGAAGGCCAGGGAGAGGAATTTAGTTACGTACATTTTAATAAAAAGAAGAAGAAAGCCTAAAGACAGCTGTTTTGAACAACTCTTGGAGCTGTCTTAAGGACTTACAAGCATCTTTCCTAACTCTCTGGATAAGTAATAAATTTATACTTAAAACTGGTTTGCTTTCGCCCTTATAAAACAAAGGTAGAATGCTCTTCTTAAGAGTTCAGGGCAGAAGTAGGTGGAAAGAAATTATTTTTGCCTTCTCCGCTAGCTATTCAAGGCATGCCCACCTTACTTCTGCTATTTAAAATGTTATTGCATTTTTAACTACTTAATAAGATGCAAGAGAAGATGAAAGGCAGTTTGGAAGGTAGAAACCCAGGCAAAGTAAGAATCAGGGGCGCAGTTTACTGGGACATGGGCTCCTCTGAAAGATAAACAGAGCAGCGCTGCTGCTGGTACCACTTCGAACAGATGCATAGAGTCACTTCGTTTGTAAAACGCTAAAGACACACACGAGCGCGTCAAACAAATGCTCAAGTCCTTTGTCCCCTGTGAAGCCGGATTCCACAAAGGCAGCATTTCCAAGGCCAAACAGATGAGTGCACAGACAAAGCCCGTTGATCTAGCTAGAACGAGCTCCTGGACACCATCAATTCTGTCCTACAGCTCTTTTTCTGGTCCTTGTCTGTGTACAAGTCACTCCTTATAATGAAGATACTTGATGGAGTGTTGTTCCGATCGCAGCCGGGGCGGGGGGCGGGGGGGGGGGCGGAGAGCTAAAAATACATTCAGTAAATTCCCCATCCATCCTCCTCTGCGCAGCGTGAGAGAGGGCTGTGCGCCTGCAGGCCTGTCGGCTCCCTTGCGGGTACACAGCCAGACCGCAGCCCCCCTCTGCCGGTCCCCCTGCCCACACCCTGTGCGGGTGGGAGGGGCTGCGGGGATGAGATCCGGAATACGGAACGTGGGAAGAAGTGACGGGCTCCGTTTCCAGGCTTGGTCTCAACCTCCCTGCCCCTCCATGATGCCCCTGCTCTGGCTTCCTGGTCCGGTCGGCCTGGGTGAAGAGGACCCAGTGGGGACTCCGGGGTCACTGAGGATGGCAAAACCACTAGGTAACAGAAGGCTGAGTGTGAGTCCCTGAATGATGGGGTGGGGCAGAGGCCGCAGAGCCAAGTCGCATCGGAGCATGGATGGGTGAAAATCACCCCTGCTTCTGTGATTTCAGTGTTGCTTTTGCTAGAGAAGTTAAATTACTATCCTGACTTTACACTGCCTCATACATCCAAACCACAGCAAAACTACCAAAATTGCTAAACCACCCCAAAAATAAGACAAGAAGTTTAGCATTACCCTCAGAAAATTAGGAAGTTTGATTTCATTTCAAATAATTCTGAGGTAGAAAGAACATTGACTTTGGACTGGAAGCCCTTCAGCTGCCTGAATCCTGCTGCTGCCATTTTCATGGTGACTGTCACAATTTTTCAAGCTGTATACTTCACAGACAGAGACAGACACATAGAGAATGTGTGGACAGGCTTCTAAGCAGTTTGTTACTATTTTAAAGCTAATAATAGGAATTGCCAAATTGCTTTTCAGAAATATTTAAATTTATATTTTTACCTCTTTTGAATATATGTCTATCACATTATATTTTATGCTTTAAAATTAGCTATTCTTTAGAAACTAATTACACTGAGCTTTCAATAAGTGTACTGGCCATTTGCACATCTTCTTTGGTGATCTATTTTTTAATATATTTCCTACTTTTCAGTGTGGTTTTAGGAATTATATGGACTTGGATTATTTGTGTGTATTTGGGAAAGCATTGTTCTGAAGCCAAAATGATCGTTTATGTTGGGTTTTATGCTTAGCTCCCTGAAAAGCTGACTAGAAACCAGCCATCTTGACTCTCCAGGCATCAAGAATATCTCTGTTTCTCAAAAGGGCCAGAACTATCTGCCTCGTGGTTAATATTGCCGACTAAGACACTTGGGACACTACTGGACTGTAGCTGGTGAGTGGACTTATTCCATAGAAAGGAAATGGTTTTTCTATGTTATATGAAAATGGGAATTACATGAAAAGTGACCTGGGAGGAGAAGTGTTAAAAAAAAGTGAAGCACTGAAGGCGGGGATGCACTTGGATGGCACCAGGGGCAATGCCAACGGCATATTATAGGGAAGGTGGGAACTATTCCCTGACACCCCATTGCTGTAGGAAATCTGTGTTACCAGGACTCTTAATGGACTAAACACATTTTGCATAGTCGTCATCACATAAATTTTATTTTTATTTTAGCTACACTCTAAAGTAAATCTACCTAAACCCCTGAGGCTCCACTGGGGTGGGTAAGTGATACTCAGTGCTAAGAGAAGATACACAAAATGCTCTGGCGTTTCAAATTAATCCCTAGCATAGGATGTGATAACAGTAGGTAGAGCAAAAAGACAGCCAATATTTCAAAATAATTATTAAGTTTTTCCCAAAGCCCTTAACTTCATGCAAGAGTTTGTTAGAGGCTCTGGAAATAGGCCATTTTGGCTGTGTGTGCCCATCTTTTTTTCAAATCCATCAACGTTTATGGAAAAACCTATGCTGGTTAGCAAGTCAGATCACTCGTGGACAAAACACATAAGGGGAGAGGGAGTATTTTCACGCTTGCTTGTGCTGCAGTCTCCCATGGAAAATACCTGTTGCCTGTAGAATGCTCACCCCGGAAGTAGTGCTCAAACTTTCAAACCTGGGGGGCCTTTAACAAATACTGAGGGCAGCCCCCAGAGGCATGGCCTAGGCACTGGGACTTTAAAAAACTGCCATGTTATTGAAATGTGCATTGCGGTTGAGAACCCTGCCCAGAGACAAGTGGGATGGGAGGGTGGGGGGAACACAGAGCTCTGGAGCAACCACACCTGGGTTGAAGTCTCAGCTCTACCCTTCCTGACTCTGTGATGCTGGGTACTCAGTCCTACTGAGCCTTTATTTCTCCCTCTGAAAAATACAAATAATTCCTGCTTTTGAAGTTTGCTGCTGGTTTAAATATGGAAAAAGTGCCCCCAAATTAGAGATACTCTTCCCTTGAACTTCCTTTCCACATAACTTTTAGAGGTATAGTACTTTTTTGTTTACAGGCTAATCTACTCATATAGTGATTAAGAGCCCAAGTTCTAGAGCCACCACTAGCTGGCTCTGAATACCAGCTCTGTTACCAGCTGTAATACCATGTGCAGTTTAATTGAATTCTGTGAGCCTCAAACACTTCATCCATAAAATGGGAAGAATGACAACATCCATTCCGACAGGGCTTTGTGGGGATTAAATGGATGTACGTATGTAAGCATCCCAGTGGTACCTTATATACGGTAAGTACTCAGTAACGGCTCTAATCATTGCTTATTTTTTACTCTCAGGGAAATAAAATTCAGCATCCCACTCTTTCAAAGCATAACAAAATTTCTGGACAAATGAGGAGCTCACATAAAGGAAGCAGAGTTTGTATATGAAAGGTGTTTTGAACCAGTTTTAATTGTTCATCATAAAAATTATGCGAATGGAAAAAGTTGGTTCACTGTTGACTAGTCCCACCTTGAAGAATACAATGTCTAAAATTGAGCTTTGAAGGCATTTAGCTTAAGGTGGTTGAGAAAGGTTTGAAAGACTAGGTTTGGAAAAAAGAACATCTTATTACATATGTTTTGGGGGTAAGAGGTATCAGACTTTTATACAGAAATGGTGAACTTATATGGACACTTTGTTAGCAAGGCATTTAGTATGTGAGTCATACAGCAATAGAAATAAATGCTTTACACTTGCTCTCTTGTGGCTTCTGCGGGGCCAGTGTTATTGGAAAAACAGTTCGCTAATTCTACACACAGACTCTATTTTTTGATATATAGTTAACAGTCCCAGAAGACTCATCTGTTTTTTTTTTTTCTCATAACGTCACTATTCAAACACTAATGAAGGGTTTGTTTCCCAGGCTCTGGAGACATTAAATAATGAATTTTGGGGAAAGGGCTGTTTGTATGGATCTGGGGAAGTGTGAGGGTTAAATAGCTGCATTTACCACAAAGTGAGGAAGAACAATCTCGAACAGGGCTGCTGCAAGGTAGATACGTACTTCACATCGTACCCACGCCACCCTAGCAGAATAATTCATTCTAGTTTGTGAGCATCAAAATATCCTTTGGCCTACGCCCAAGTAGGAATACAACCACCAAGTACATTCAAATCTTATTTATCAGTGAGTCTCCCGTTTACAGCTTCATGCAAACCCCATGGTCAGAAAAGTGAACAAGTGGATGCAAGCCGTGGGTTCCATTGCAAGAGTATCCATCACTTGTGGTTAGATATGGACTTTGTCATTAAAAGAAAGTGATAAATTGGGAGTGTGGGATTGACATTTACACACTGCTATACTTAAAAAACAGATAACCAACAAGCACCTACTCTGGTAAGGGAACAAGCACAAGGGCCTACAAGCACAGGGAACTCTGCTCAGTATTCTGTAATAACCTAAATGTGGAAAGAATTTGAACAAGAATAGATACATGTATATATAACTGAATCACTGTGGTGTATACCTGAAACTAACACATTTTTAATCAACTATACTCCAATATAAAATAAAAATTAAAAAAGGAAGTGATGGCTCTAGAAATAAATGCCCCCTGCTTGCATAAACTAATCTTGCTTTAATTTTCTTGCGTAGCAATGTTCAAACAGATATCTGAATTTTCAGCCCCTCAGTAGGGACTGGGTATATCTAAGATAGTTTTGTTTCAGTAATTTTCCTCTTTCTGTTCTTAATCAGAATTAGAAATGGAGGGAAAAGTGCTAGACTTACCCACACAAGGTAGAGAGTAACCAAGCTGAGGGTCGTGGACAAACTGCCGATCATTGAGTCTCGTCACACAGTACAGGTGGAAACAGTCTAAGCAAATCACGTGGCGGTAGTTGCACTGGAAAACCAGGACCGGGCTTCTGGTGGAGGTAAAGAAAGACATTTCCTCTAGTCCTTCTAAGGCTGGCAGGCAACGTGTGGTTTAGAACACTTTCTGTAATCTCATAGGGTTGCTTAGGGCATGCTCTAACCTGCACTGCTAATCGTTGAGCTCATATATATCAATGCTACATCTTAAAAATTGAAAACACCTTGTGAGCTATAAAGAAGACTGATTTTCTTAATTTTTTTTTATATGACCATATTTACCAATGAGCTATTTAAACCCAAGCTCAGATACAAGCTCTTCCTAGAAGCCTTCCTTGACTTATAATTCCCGATTAAACCTACTCATCATTCCATCCACTTATATTTCGACTGATCCATTATTACATTGTAGTATTGATATGTTTCTCTTCTCTTGTAGACTGTGATCTCCTTGAAAATAGACACTGTCTTCTTTACATTGATATTCTCATAGCACCAGGCATTGTAAGTTTTTAAATAAATGTTCCTTGAATTTAGTTATAATAATATATAGAATCTGAACTTCTCCAAAGTCGAAAGAAAAATTACTACTGCATCAAACAAAGTAAATGTGTTAAACAGTCATTCACATTTCACTGGCAAATGGAAAAGCAGAATTTAGAAATAAAAGATTATCTAGCAGAGATCCTTCTACTACAAGATTTTGTCTATTGTGCTACCCCCATCCACCCAAATATTCAATTTCTTAAATTAAAGTTAGGGGATTACTAACAAATCAATATACACAAGTCCTAAAAATTTTGAACTTCCTTAAAACACTTTGTAGAAAAAAATATCTCCTGAATAACCACATTTTTGCTAGTAAATGAACCCCATGATTTTATGACAAAAAGGAGACAAAATGAAAATATTAACTTGAGATCAGCCCCAAGGCAATTTTAATAGTACGAAAGTCACTGGATTTTATTTAAACCTATTTTCTATGTAATGATAACAAGATACAAAGTATTTTTCATTTCATACCCAATTCTGAACAGATATAAGAGCTCTTCAAAATCCCTTTCCCTAAAAAAAACTGATATTAACATTAATATTAGTAGAAGATAACTCCTTAACAATTACAAGATTTTCAAAATTCTGTTTTCCCACTTATTTCAAAACAATATATAACACAAAGCAAAATGGAAAAACAACCTTGGTATTTTAATGTCTTGGATCTACAGGATGATGGTCAATTTCATCTAAGCATCCCTGATGTTTTTATGTGTTTTCATTTCCCATCTCGGAGCCTATTGATGTCCCTTCAGGGCCATTTCCATTCCCAGGGCCTCCTTCAATTAGGTGATGACTGTGCTCTGAACTTCCAGCCTCTTCCCTTCTAACAACTTCCCCCTTGAAGATGATAAAATATAGCGCTTTCCTATATCTAACAGGAGAGTCAGGCACACACGCACACAAGCGCATACACACCTCATTCCCTCTGTGTGACCCTATAGAGCTGCAATATCTTGCCTCCTTCTTTCAGAGCTAAGTTCTATGAAAAATGTTCTTCATTCTGATTTTAGCAACATGGTCGACTCAGACTTTATGGACTCTTGATCTGTTATCAATACACAGAAACACTGGAGAAACTATGAGAACATTTATAAAACTGTTCCTATACATAACAAGGTTAAAAAGAAAGCTTGGCAATTATCCTGTAGAAAATATAAAAAGAAAACTTATATAAAAGCCAAAGCAGTCAGTATGGACTGTGGACTCTGCCACAGTGTCCCAGAGAGATGTTAAGATGCATGGCATGTAGCCATTGATCTAGCAAATGTGTTCTTTTCCATCCCTATTAATAGAAGGAAGAGTAGACAGAGTTCTCTTTCATGTATGGACAACAGTACACATTTATAGTTTTGCCCTTCAGTTAAAATCTGGTCAAAAAGAACTTACACTACCTAGACAATTCAAAGAACATCAGTTTCTCTGGTTTATTGATTACATCCTGCTATTTGGAACAGATTAGCAAGAAATGGTAAATATACTGGAGGCCATGGTGTGAGATAAACTCTATGCAGATTCAGGGGTCACCTACATTAGAGAAGGTTTTTAGAGGTCTGAGGGACACACCTAACAAAATAAAGGACACAGTAGTCACCTTGCCCCTCCGCTACTAAGAATGGAGTACAAGGTAATCACAGGCTCCTAGGAGCCTCAGAGGCTGTGGTTCCCACAGAGTGAAGCACACGCTCCTGGGGACACAGCAAACATCCCGTGGAAAATTAAGCTCCAGTGGTACCGGTTCCCTTCAGCCTCCTTAAACTGGAATACAGGCAGGAAGGAAAAGTGACCATCCTGGCAGGGATAATTGACCCTAATCATCAGGAAGGGCAAGAGCTGCTGTTACACATGGGGGTGGGGAAAATTCACATGGCATCTAGGTGGTTCCATGGGGCATCTCCTGATACTCCTATGCACTTTTAATGGCAAATGGACAAGGGCAGCAGTTATGGCTTAAGAAATGCATGGTGACCAGGATTTGAGACCCTTTAGGATATATATTTATATACACACACACACACACACACACACACACACACACACACACATACATACATATGTGTGCATATATGTATAGATTCATATATGTGTGCATGTGTATGTACATATGCACATATGTATGCATATGCATATTTTTATATGTAGCTATGTAGAGATAGAACAGATATATGTATATGTTGATAGATAATGACAGAGATAGAGGTAGTATATGCACATATTTCAGATAGAATTATCAGTTCGATTTCTTGATATAGTTATGAGGTAAGACTGCTCATCTCTTAAGAATATTCTTAGTATTTATGAAAAAGTTAGGTGAGTGACAAACATGACACCCATAGAAAGGTTATTAATCATCTGAGAAAATGAAATGAGTAAAAATCGTATCATGGCTGGAGGGACTACATAATTAATTTCTCAGGAGCTAGATGAAACAGGAAAGGGGGAAATACTGGTATTTATGAGCACCTACTTTGAGTTAGGGGCCTTGCTAGGAACTTCACACATGTTTTTTTTCCATTTCACTCCCCTAAAGTCAACTCCCTTGACTCTACTATTCATCGTGTTCCTTTCTCCACCTCCACCCTCTCTGTGGGCATGGTCCTAACCTATCTTAGCATACTTCTAGCTCCTTTACTCCTAGACCCATGCTCCTTATCATGCATTCCTATAGTACAATATAGTCAGATATATTTATATTGAAATCAAAACTCCAAATTTCAAGGTCCAGTTCAAGTGTGAAGACCTCCAAAGGACTTTCTCTGGAGCCCCATTCTTTATTAATTCTTCCCTTTCTCTTTACCTTTTATCCATAAGGTCTATTCTCAATGTGTTTCAGATATTACCTCTTCACTTTTATTCAAGGTGAGTACTGTCAACATTAAATGAAAAGTCATGAAATAACAGAGGCCATTCTTGTTTAACACTTTCATGACCCAAGCATCACCATATACAGCACTGAGCCCATGGTAGTTACACTATCAATAGTTACTGACTGTACCAGTGGATAAATGAATGGAATGTTTTTACTTTATAATTTCTCTGCTCCCCACCTGTACATTTTTCACTCAACTAATTATCGAGCATCTGCTTGGCTAAAGAAGGCACTTAATACATGTGGAATATGGCACTGAGTGAATGAGTAAACACTTTACAGTCAGATTGGTTTAAGCATTGGGAAACACACACACATACACAATCTGAAGGCATAGTTGGGGGACACAAAATGCATGTGGAACAAGTATTACAAGGAAACATATGCAGTCACTAAACTCTGTTGCCACAGAAGCTAGGAGAGGAGGGAAGTAAGACTCAGGATGGTACCATTAGGGAACCTGAGCTGAAATGAAAAGGATGGGAAAAGTGACATCAGGCCACTGGAGAGAAACATGGCTCCTGGGCAAGGGAGGAAACCCAGACATAGAAAAGAATTCTTGGAACAAAAAAGTAACCAGTTGGGCTGATTGAGAGAATATATCAGGAAAAGAGTGAGAGGAGAGATGACAAAGTTGGACACAGAGCAGATACGGGGCAGGGACAGTGGCCTAGGGGTTCTGGAGACTAACCTAGTAGATAACCTCTAGATTGTGCAATTTGCTGAAGTCATCTAAGCATGGGAAGGGAGTGATATTTTAGTAAGTTTAATTCCAAGGAAAGCTTGGACGGAAAGAAATTAGAAGTCGTGGTAAGTCTTTGGAGGTCATTTTAATAATTCAGACATGAGTTACTTAGGAATTAGACCATGGTATGCTGGTGGTTCTAGGAATGGAAATGAGAAGATTGATAAGAGTGACATTTCTGAGGAGGACCTGCCAGGACCTGCCATATGTCATGTGGGTCTTTTTTTCCTTCTGACATTCCTCTGTGCCCTTTGCTCCAACTGTACATAAATGTTAATTGACCATTCTAGAAAATGATTTTACCCCAGTGAGCCAGGTTATAGAGCAGTTAATCAAAGGTTAAATAAAGTTCTCAGCCATATGTAAAAGGAATTATAAATGCTGTACTTGACATTACTTTAGAGTTATTTGTAAGCAATGATTTCCCTGCTTTTATTAAAGGAGTGATCCAAAGACCCTTTATTCACAAAGTATTAGGCATAATTGAAGGAGTCTTAGTAAAATATATGGTGAGCCATTCACACACATGACACAAAGTAGAATATTGTTCTGCAGTAGTTCAAACATTTAAACTCTTATAAAATTAGTTCTCTAGTACCTACAAAATAGTATCAATTTTTTTCATATTTGTCTGATAAAATGTACAGTTTGCTATCTCATTTGTTCCCTCTCTCTCTCTCTCTCTCTCTCACACACACACACACACACACTTGCTCTTCTTTACACGCCCTCTCTCTGCCAAAGTCTGTCTATTTCTCTGTCTCTGTCTGATTCTTTCTCACACGTACATTTTCATTTATACCCATTAAGAGAGGGGCTGTGGTCCAAATTCTCAACTGAATGTGACACATACTGAACACAATGTGCCAAAAATTTCAAGATATGTA